GTGATAATACCTATGGTATAAAATAAGTGGTATTTTTGTTTATCAGATGAGAAAAGTGAATCTTCTAGATAGAGCCTGGGGTAGAACTGTGATCTGGTTCCAGAAAGAGCCTTTTCTATACACCTTGCCCTGTCACATGTTTTTTTTTTTAAATTTGACAATTTTACATATTGTAAAATATCAATAATTTCTGTCTTTCTCAATTTTATTCTTCATTCATTTTCCTTTCTGTTCATGTTGTAGTTTTTATTGTCTTTTAAGACTATTACCTTCAGTCTGCTTTTCATTGTCTTAACTGAAGTTAGAATCAGAATTACATCTGTGTCAAGTACACTTGCCTGATGTATCTGATGACCTGAAATATGTAGTTAGAAAAAGAAGACACTGAATTATAGACTTAATGTCTGCAGTTGGAAAGCGCATACTATTATAGACTGTACTTTACCTCTAATGTGTAACGTAGAGTAGGTTGGAGGTTTTGTCATTTGCTTGTGGCATTTGACTGTCATTTTGACTGTTTTGAGTGTATTTATTACTAACTAGGAGTCAGATAAAGAATATTTAATTAAGTTCCTTTTTTTTGGTAATAATGTTCTTGATAGGGGAAATCAGTGACTAATGCTGCCTTCCATGTGTGCATTTGTGTAATAGCACAGTAGATAGATGGAAGTTTATCATAAAAAGGGAAAATTAATGTTATCTTTATAATTTTTTTCCAAAAGATACAGATTTGCCCTTATGGCTTGTATAGAAAGTAATTTTGCTTTAGGGTGTTGTTGATAATATTTTAATCATGGCAGCAGTTTATAATTGGGAAAAGTGATTTCCCTATAGTATTTTATTTCATCCTTATCAAGTTTCATGTCAGGTTATGTGATAGCCATTAAATACCTAGGGAATTTGGAATAAGAATATATTATTTAGTTGACAGTTCTTAAACAACTGTATTTTTCCTTCCTACCAGGAAGTGTTTGATGATTCATCACCTGGAAAGCAAAAAGAAATTCAAGAACCAGATCCTACATATGAAGAAAAAATGGTATGTTTTAGATATGTGAATAGCATTTATGATGAACCTTCGTAAAAAAGATTTTAAATGTATTCATTAGTTTACATATACAGGTGTCTCTAATTGTGCTGTAAAACATAACAAATTGTGGCTCTTTTTAGATGAACATAACTCTAAGGTGATAGTAGAGAGCACTTTTACCCACTGTAGTTCAGATTGTGATACTAATATATTAATATAGAGCTTCAGTCCTCTGACTAAAGTTTATTTCATTGCTGCTGATCTCACGTGTATGTATTATTCCCTGAAAATCTTTACCCTGAGAGACCTTTTTTTAAAAAAAAATAATGATCATAATTGACTTTCTTAAATTAAAGGTGTGTGCTACCATACCTAACTTGTTTCTCTTCATGTAAATAGATTATCGTGTCTTTAAAACATCCCTTACTGAAAGACTTGAGAGTTCATTATTAGTAAACTTGTTTTCAAATATATTCACTCTCTTGATGTGACAACAGGAAATATTCAAAGGGATAGCTAACAAATTTGAGACTGAGGAGATCCATCCAGAGGGGTCATTGTCAACAACTTTACAAACTGGTCTCCCTGCTGGCACATAGTGTGATGTCATTTCTGGAGATAAAATTTATGGCAATTGAATCGGAATTAAAGTCTATGTTTCTGGTGATGGCACTGCACAATTTTCTATTAGTAACAGGGCTGGAGATCCATTTATTGTAATCCATGTTGAATCAAAACTATAACATGTAAAATAAATTCATACTGAGAGCATTAAAAAAAAGAAAAGTATTTGATAAGTGAATTTCAGACCTGGTACCCTTTTAAAATTTGGCATCAGTTTGAGTAACCAGTATGTTTTCTTTTGAATACATTCCCTTGTACAATGTTTTTCTTGTTTGTTTTGTTTTTATGTTGTATTTAAAAATCTTGTTACTGTTATCTTATTAGAGGATAATGAACATAAAATGTTAGTTTTGGAAATACATGAACTCATTTAAGCATGTCTGTAGGCATGATGTATTTCCTGTCATTCCCCTTAACCCACTCCCACTCTCCTCTTTAAGTCACTAACTGCACTTGATAGGTTCGTATATTCAGCCTGTGTTTGTCGGTGACTTGTCTTTGGGAGTCACAGTCACCTTGTTGCGTATTTCAGTAGTTTGTTCGATTCTTCAGTTCTTCATGCAGGCATATGTACATTATTTCTAAAGTTTAATAAAGTGTGTCTTAAATTTTGCAGCAAACTGACCGAGCAAATAGATTTGAGTATTTACTAAAGCAGACAGAGCTGTTTGCACATTTCATTCAGCCTGCTGCTCAGAAGACTCCAACCTCACCCTTAAAGATGAAACCAGGGCGCCCACGGGTAAAAAAGGATGAAAAACAGAATTTGCTCTCAATTGGCGAGTGAGTAGTAGTTTATATTTCATAGTTTAAACCAAATTTGCTTTTTAAATTATACTTTTTAAGGTTTTTATTTTATCTTCTGTGGCTTCACAGTTGTGGCCATCGGTGTCTCAGTATCTAAAAATATATACAATGACTTACTTTTAAACCATTAAATGCTTTCTTTGCTTTTATACCATTAAATGCTTTGTGAATTTTAACAGCCATGTTGCACATGGAATTAAGATGTTAAGCATTCCTTAGAGGGGTTAAAAATGCAGAGGTTAGCCAGTTGTGGTGGCACACACCAGTAGGATTTGCTGAAGGAGGCAGAGGCAGGAGGATCACGAGTTTGAGGCTAGCCTTAATAAAGAAAATTAAAAAAATCAGAGGTTAAGTGTGTTAGTCACCAGTACATAGAAATGCTTGGTCCACGCTTGAACGTGAAGCTGTTGTATATTTTTGTCTTCCAAAAACCATAACTACGTTTGAGGGTATGTTTGTATTTTGTGTTGGTACTAGAGATTGAATGTAGGGCTTCATGCTTGCTGGATGAGCATCCTACCACCAGCTTATAGAATCCAACCAATTTTTCCACTTTTTAAAACTTTGAGACAGGGTTTTTCACTGAGTTGTCAGAGTTGGACTGAAGGTCTTTCTCTGTCGGCTCTCTAAGTAGCTAGCATCGCAAGTGCATATCCCCAGCCTTGTTAGTAAGGGCATTTGAGCTGATGTGTGCACTGTTTGTTTAAAATGTTTGCTGCATACTTAGCGGGCTGCTTATATGTTGAAGTGTCACACATGCCGTCCTTCAGTGTTTTTTGGTAATTCATTGTACGTACTGAATATACAGATTTTTCAAGATTTTTGTGCTAGTATGTTAATATTTTAAGGGTAGCCTCTACTATAATTCCTGATCTGATAAATGAAGTATGTAAATTAATTATCATATGTAAGATTGTTTTAAAGAGATTATATGTTTGTCAATGTGAAAATTGCTAAGTGATTAGTTAAAACAGAAAAGTATGATGTTCATCTGGAGGGAATAAGCATCATATTAGTTTTATTTGGAGTATTGTGTTGTTCCAGTATATTTTATTATTACCAATTATGTATATCCAAAGTGCTATTTTTATATTAAAACATAAAATTCTTTTCAAGCCAGGTGGCAGTGGTACAAGGCTTTAATCCCAGCACTAGGGAGGCAAATCTCTGAGTTCTAGGAAAGCCAGGGCTACACAGAAACTCTGTCTCTAAAACCAAAAAAAGAAAGAAAACTTTTTAAGAGACAACTTTGTACTTTAGATATATTTTAACTGTTCCAGATGTGAGATCTTGTTAGCTATTTAAGTATATCAATGTCCTGGAATTACTGCAATAAGCATTATTGTGTTGTGGGATAATCGATGTATGGTATGAGAAGAAATGCTTCTGCTCTTTCTGTTATTCTGTAAAATAGAGATGGTTCGCAGGAATACGCAGTAGGTTACTGAGTTTTGTGTGTTTACTAAATTGTGTCATTGGAAAATAAGATTGAGATCTCTCTCTCTCTCTCTCTCTCTCTCTCTCTCTCTCTCTCTCTCTCTGTCTTGTAAGCATCAAACCCCAGGCCTTGGCACTCTATCACAAACAGATATATATTTTAGTCCCCTTTCTCTTTTTAGTTTTCTCTTTTTGGGTTTGGGTGTGTATTACTTGAGACATCTTAGTGTGCATAGTTCAGACTGCCCTCAAGTTGAGTCTTTCTCTCCCTGGAATGTAGGAATTATAGCTGTGGCCAACTAACACCGGGCATTTGCTTATCTCTGCCTCCTCAGTGTCTGGATTGCAAGCTCCAGCTGCATTTTGCTTTTATTTTGATGGGGAGATGGGTTTGAATTCATATCTTGTAAGGCAAGCTCTTTGCTGACTAATCTCCAAAGAAATCTTTGGTCCTTATTTCTTAGCTTTAGTCATACTTATGATTTTAAAAGTGTCATTTCTAGAATTTTTCTCTTGGCAAAAAGACACGAAAAGGCAAGTTACAAAATTTTTGGCTGTGTGTGTGTATATATATATATTCTTGAAATTATTATCATGTTTATTAAATTCTTCTGTGTATGTATTTAAAATTTTTTGTTTGATTCCTTCCTCCTTTTCCCCTTGAGACAAAGTTTCTCTGTGGCCCTGGTTGTCCTGGAACTCACTATATCTCTAAATCTGGCTGGTCCCAGATTTAGAGATTAGCCTGCCTCTTAATTTATATTTTATTCATAGTTTAGCTAGCCACATGAATATTTAAGGTTTAAATTTACTAGTAAATTTTCTGCTGATCACTTTTTGGGCTCACTGTTTTTCAACTTTATTTTCTTAAAATCTTTTGAGGTACACAGTCTCTAACCTAGGACTTCTACTCATGCTAGACAAGTGCTCTATCACTGTGCCACATCTGTGGCTTAACTTAGATGCCTGTTAAGATTGTTGTGATATCATCATTTGTCTGCTGTATTGAAATTAAATTCATTATTAGTTGATTTTTTTCATTTTGACAGCTACCGACACCGTCGGACAGAGCAAGAGGAGGATGAAGAACTATTAACAGAAAGCTCTAAAGCAACTAATGTCTGTACTCGATTTGAAGATTCTCCATCATGTATGTTAAATTCATTGAATCATTTGATCTTCCCACCCCACTCCCTAACCCCCACCGAGGATAGTGTTTCTCTGTAACAGCTCTGACTGTCCTGGAACAGTCAAATAACAACAACAACAACAAAAGGCTGTCCTCCAACTCACAGAGATACACCTGCCTCTGCTTCCCAGGTGCTGGGATTAAAGGTGTGCACCACTACTGCCCGGCTGAATCATTTGATTTTTTTTTTCAAAGGGATTGATGTTTAAATTTGCTTTACCAATAATTTATAAATTCTTAGTAATCTTGGATAGCCATAGGGTGTGAATAATTTAGGGTTGTTTGATCTGAGATGTTACCATGTCGACTGGGCTTAGAGCTATAGAGCTATAGAGTGCTTCGAGTGCTCATAGCGTTTGCAAAGCCTTGGCTTTGATCCCTAGAGCTGAGAGAGGATAGTGTGTGCTATATTTCAGAAGTATATGAAAATGCTGTTTATTTACATGTTCTAAGGAAAATACAAAATGGAATGGTTTTGCCTCATATTTTTCCCAAATAAGAAAACTACTTTGGGGGGGGGGGGGGGGAATCAAGAAAAAAATTTATTTGCTGATGTTTTCACATAAATTAATCATTTTTGAAATATATTAGTGTTTTTCCATAAGAAGACATTTAGCCAGGTTAGTTTTACTTGTACACATCTTGATTTCTGATAGGATTAGAGGCTTCTGCAATCTTCACTGCAGCCTAGCTTTTCTGCAGCTCCTGTTCAGATGAGTATTCATTGTGAACAATAGCAGAATTTTGGTTGGACTCTTGGTTAGTTAGAATGTTAAGGAGTTTACTCACTCTTTGCTTTTCCCCTTTGTCTTATGAAGCGCCCAGTTTCTTGTTTCTTTTTCTTTTCTTTATCTTTTCTTTTGAGGCAGGGTTTCTCTGTGTAGCACTGGCTATCCTGGAACTCACTGTGTAGACCAGGCTGGCCTTGAACTCACAGAAATCTGCCTTCCCAGTGCTGGGATCAAAGGCTGAGTTCTACTTTTCAAATCAAGCTAGAGGCTAGAGACCGTGTCTGACAAGGTGGAAAGGAAATTACAGATTACTTCTTTTTCACGTTCATTCATTGCAACTAGTGTATCCGGTCCTGGTTGATTAGCTTTTCTCTTTTTTTAAGATTTATTTATTATGCATACAACATTCTGCCATACAACATGGCACCTCTGTGGTGCCAGAAGAGGGCACCAGATCGCAGTATAGCCGGCTGTGAGCCACCAGGTGGTTGTTGGGAATTGAAATGAGGACTCTGGAAGAACAACCAGTGCTCTTAACCTGAGCCTTCGCTCCAGTCCCAGCTGTTCATACTTAAGCAGTGATTTATCCAGTGAAGTAAAGCAAGTAATATATACTAAAAGACATAAGATCTCTCAGAAAAAGAACTTAAGAAATTAGGAAGAGTGGACTTGGAGAAAGAATTCTCTGTTTTTATTCCACCATGAGAACCTCTATCTGATCTTTAAGAAGGACAAAAACATTTGGTTATAAACATTGTGCTAGCATTAAAAAGAGAGGTACAGAGGCCAGAGGTGATCGAAGGCCAGTGTGTTTTAACATTGGTTGAGTGATTTTGATGAGGACTCTGATGCCAACAGTCATAATTTATTATCAGTTATTTGTATCCAACTACTCCTGCTTCAGTTCTGATTTAATAGGCTACTTTTAATGATGGTAACCTTTCATAATCCCCATAGTACACATGTCTTGAAAAAAATAGACACTTAAAGGTCCCAGGTAAATCTCTAGAATCAGATAAAAGGGACCTGACCTGTTTTGTATTTTTTGTTTAAATTGAACTTGTTTTGTTGTTCTTAGATGTAAAATGGGGTAAACTGAGAGATTATCAGGTCCGAGGATTGAATTGGCTCATCTCTCTGTATGAAAATGGCATCAATGGTATCCTTGCAGATGAAATGGTATGCATTTGGTTATTTTGAAGCTTGAAGGGGGTTTTTTTTGGTTGTTTTGCTTTTGTAACTTATAATAGGTTGCCATTAAATTTATAGCAGTCAAGAGAATAGTTTTGATGATTACAACTAAATTTTTCTTGAAGTGTTATAAGCAACTTGCCTTAGCTGTATAAGTGATGTCTTCACATGTGAAGAATTATTATCTTGCTGGGCGGTGGTTGGTGCACACGCCTTTAATCTCAGCACTCGGGAGGCAGAGGCAGGGGGGATGTTTGTGGATTCGGGGCCAGCCAGGTCTACAAGAGCTAGTTCTAGGACAGGCTTCAAAGCTACTGAGAAACCCCATCATGAACCACCTCCCCCCCCAAAAAAAATTACAAAAAGGATTATAAACTCTGTAAGTAGAGTACATTTTAAAATAATATGTTTTGAGAAGTTCTTTTGCTATTTTATTTATTTGTTTGTTTGTTTGTTTGTTTGTTTTGAGGCAGGGTTTCTCTGTATAGCCTTGACTCTCTGGGAACTCAGTATGTAGACCATACTGGCCTGGAACTCACAGAGATCCACCTGCCTCTGCTTCCTGAGTGCTGGGTATAAGGTGTGCACCACCGCTTAACAGCTTCTTTAGTTTTGTAGTGAAGCAATTTGGCTGTTTCTCTTGAGTTTTATGAACAGTTAACAGAGCTCTATTTCATAAAACGTTGTATCTTCTGTTCACTACTTACTAGTTACATAGTGAATATTTTTACCTTTCTCAATTGCTTAAACAATTGGTTGGAGAAAGTAAGGAGTCAAAAGAGATACTCAGTTCTGCCTCTGATAGTTTGGGAATATCCCATGTTCTGAGCCTTGGAGGGGTGGTGTTGATACCGTCTTTTACCGACTTACATGACCTAACTCTGTTAACTGTCGTGCACATTAAGCTCTTGTCATGTTGTCCCAGATGTAGCATTTCTTTTCAATGTTCTGTGCATGATGGGGGTGGCTGTAATATGGAAAGCATTGTTTAATGGTTAATTTAATTGATGTAATTCATTGATTTAATGTTTAATTATGAATTTTCTCAGGGTTTGGGAAAGACACTTCAAACAATTTCTCTCCTTGGGTACATGAAACACTATAGAAATATTCCTGGTCCTCATATGGTTTTGGTTCCCAAGTCTACATTGCACAACTGGATGAGTGAATTCAAGAGATGGGTGCCAACACTTAGATCTGTTTGCTTGATAGGAGATAAAGAGCAATGAGTAAGTTTTTATACCATAAAGATGAAATAGCCAGAGAAGGGATAATAAAGAAAGGGAAAGGGTCTTCACAACTATTAGTGATTTCTAGCAGTAATACTGCTTTTGTGGTTAAGAATTGTATGGGAAGGCTTTAAAGACATAGAAAGCTCTAAGAATGTAATTTATTTTCAGTTTCTTTCTCCCTTCGGAAGTGATTTTATAAAGTCAAAGGGTGTCTATTTGGAAGTATTAGCATGTTTAAAAAGGTTTTGAATGTGTCAAGATTAAAAATTTGAGGAACCAGATTTCTAGATTAGGGTACAGTGGTAATAGTTATAGAATAGTATTTGTTAAATTCAAGTGGAATCAATTGTAGTAGTATGAGATGTTATGATACAAATACGAGTTAAAATATTGATTTCATAGCCATACCTTTTTGGGACAAAGTCATGTGGAAATAAGGACACTATTAAGAATAAAGAACTTAGCTGGGCGGTGTGGTGCACACCTTTAATCCCAACACGTGGGAGGCAAGGCAGGTAGATCTCTATGTTTGAGGTCAGTCTGGATTACAGAATGAATTCTAGGACAGCTAGGGCTACACAGAGAAACCCTGTCTCATAAAACAAGCAAAAAATAAAAAATAAAAGAGGGAGCCGGGCGGTGGTGGCGCACGCCTTTAATCCCAGCACTCGGGAGGCAGAGGCAGGCGGATCTCTGTGAGTTCGAGGCCAGCCTGGTCTACAAGAGCTAGTTCCAGGACAGGCACCAAAGCTACAGAGAAACCCTGTCTCAAAAAAACAAAAAAAATAAAATAAAAAATAAAAAAAATAAAAGAGGGAGAGAACATAAATTTGGAAAATAGAGATAATGGATTGCATTCATTGGTTTAAATGATTGTATTAAATGATTTTGTGCTTAACTAGATAGGTTAATTTTTTAAGATTATATTTACGAGTGCTTTGCCTGGGTGTATATCTCTATACCAGGTGCATGCTTCTGAGGTCAGAAATGAGAATCACGTCCCTGAAACTAGAGATATGGATGGTTCTGAGCCACCATGTGGGTGCTGGGTTGTGAACCTGGGTCCTCTCTAAGAACAGCAAGTGCTCTTAACCACTGAGCTGTCTCTTCTTGCTAAGTTGTTTTTTGTTTCGGGGACTCGATTACTTCTTTGATTTTTTACTTTCATATCTATATCTATAAAACGAGAATAATGTGTTAATACATATACAAATCAAAGGAATGAAACTTTACTAACAATTGTCAGTCTTTTTGTTACAAATCCTGTTTCCTAAGAATATAGAGACCTCGCGAATTGTGGAAAGACATTTTAAAGAGTTAGGCTTCTGAGTTTTGCGATTCACTTCAGCTTTGTGAAATTAAGTTAAAACTGACGTTAAAGTGATTGATGAAGTAATTCTAGTGGTAGGAGAGCTGGCTTTAGGTGCTTATTTAATAATAGTATACTGTTTAATAATCTCACTCCACTTTCTGTATTAAATTACTTGTTGGTAAGTTTAATGTATAATTGCATTGAGTGATGTAAGTTTTTCTGTTGCTTTACAGGCTGCATTGGTCAGGGATGTTTTATTACCAGGAGAGTGGGATGTGTGTGTCACATCTTATGAAATGCTCATTAAAGAGAAGTCTGTGTTCAAAAAGTTTAACTGGAGATACTTAGTTATAAACGAAGCTCACAGGATAAAAAATGAAAAATCTATTTACTTTGATACTTAATCTGAACATTTTTGTGTCTAAGGGTTTGATTCAGAATGTTCTAACAATGGGCTTTGATTCTTTCAGTTGTCAGAAATAGTGAGGGAATTCGACTGTTCTAACTGGGACGCCTCTTCAGAACAACCTGCACGAGCTCTGGTCACTTCTAAATTTTCTCTTACCAGACGTGTTTAATTCAACTGATGTAAGCATCTCTTTGTGGTTAATAATATTTTGGTTAATGCCTTATAATTTAATAATAGCACTGTTTGAGGTGGTCATTAATTTTTTTACACTGGCCTGTTACTAACCTACTAAGTTGGTCATGTATTGAGAATTCACTTTTGAGCCTTGACTTTAATCTCATTTCCCATCAGTTTCTACAATTGGAATGGCATATTCTTACTCCTGTTTGGCAATCAGGGCTGCTTAATTTTACCCCAGAGTTTTTAGGTTAACTGCTTGTTTTAAAAGCATTCCCAAGTAGCTTTGTATATCCCACACATTGTGTTTCATCATTCAGAAATGTCCTTCAGATGTGAAGGGATCGTTTAACCCTCTGTCATAGTTTCTCTTCCAGTTGCTGTGATAAAATACTCTGACAGAGACAAGGGAGGGAGGGTTTATTCTGGCCCACAGTTCAGGATACATACTGTTAAGGTTGAGGGTGCTGGCAGTAGCTGATCATACATCATTCACATTCAGAAAACAGTGTGATAAATGTATCCTAGTGTTCTGCTCCTCTTCTCCATTCTGAACAGTCCAAGATCCCCAGCCCAGCAATGGTCACATGGTTGGATAGAGCTTCCTACACTAATTGACGTACTCGCGATAGTCCCCTGTAGTCGTCTGGGAGGCCCACTGCTGGGCTAGTTCTAGACTGTCCGAGTTGACGGTGGAGAGTGAGCGTCACTCATGTTTTTCGTTGTGGTACAATAACTTAGTCTTTATGTCCATTGGTTATTTCCATAATAAAATGATGGTAGAAGTGGCTAACTGTTCATTGTACTAGGGAAAATAAGTTATGTATCAGCAGTCTGTGCTGTTAGTAATTACAGTTGTTAAACCAGTGTTCAATTCTGAATGATTGTTCCTATGTCTGGAATGGGTGGGGAGAGCTTTGTAGACATCCATGTTAATACATTTATATAAATAAGTTATATAAAGGTTTTAATTTTGATTTATATTAAGGGTTATTTTAAAAACAGAAATTTGGATTTTTGTTTGTTTTTTGATTTTTCGAGACAGGGTTTCTCTGTGTAGCTTTGAAGCATGTCCTGGAACTTTCTCTATAGACCAGGCTGGCCTCAGACTCACAGAGATCATCCTGCCTCTGCTCCCAAATGCTCTGATTAAAGGCATGTGCCACCACTGCCCTGCTCAGATTTGAAGGTTTTAATTACAAATATTTTGATGTTTCTGAGACAATTTTAAGATAATTTGTTTTTCTTGCTAGGCTAACATTTATTTCTGCTAAAGCCCTCAATTATAACAGAGATTATAACATGTTTGCTTAACATGGCAAATTATAATAGACATTTTCAAGATATTTGATAAGGAAATTGTCCTTATTCAGATCTTATCTAAATAGTAATGAAATGCTTTTAATGTCAGTTTCACTTTGATTAATCAATAAGATGGCCATTTCTCAGAAACCTTGAGTTGTGTATTAATTATTTCTGTAAAGTAGCTTTCAGACTCTGCATTGTCAGTCAGTCTGTATTTGTGGAAAATTGCTTAAGAAATAATAGGATTCGGCTCCTTGTCCTGGTGCTAGTAATAAACATGATACTTGGAAAACAATGTAATGGAGGAAGGTCATTGGTTAAATAAAAAGAAACTGCTTGGCCCTCATTGGTTAGAAGATAGGTGGGAAGAGTAAACAGAACAGAACGCTGGGAGGAAGAGGAAGTGAGCTCAGACTCCACAGCTCTCCTCTCGGGAGCAGACGCCTCAGAGAGACGCCATGCTCCTAGCTCCCAGGCAGATGCACGCGATGAAGCTCCGACCCAGGATGGACATAGGCTAGAATCTTCCCGGTAAGCGCACCTAGGGGCGCTACACAGATGATTAGAAATGGGCTAAATTAATATGTGAGAATTAGCCTAGAAGAGGCTAGATAGAAATGGGCCAAGCAGTGATTAAATGAATACAGTTTGTGTGTTGTTATTTCGGGCATAAGCTAGCCAGGCAGCCAGGGTGCTGGGGACGCAGCCCCGCCGCCCTATTTACTACAACAATGGCTTGAACTAAATTATTTGTGTGTGTGTCTCAAAACTCACATATCGCACTAATTCTAGAAATCATTTTACATCTGTTGCTTATAGGGCATTTGTGGTTAATACTGTTTTTGACCTTAAGATGTTTTTTGTTTGTTGATCTAGGACTTTGATTCCTGGTTCGATACAAATAATTGCCTTGGGGATCAAAAGCTTGTTGAGAGGCTTCATATGGTATGTATGGTTAGAGCATATTTTTCAATGGTGAAAAAATATGTAAATCACTTATTTTACTGCTTACAGGAGTATAATACAGAATTATTTGAATTTAAAATTTACTGTTTGAAATGACATTAGGGAGATGACGTGTGATGGTTTTAGTGTTAGAGTCTACTTTTAATGTAATGTAGAAGAAAGGAATCTCTTAATCCACACAGGTAAGGGCACTTTTGACTATCAGGACCAAACAAGACATTGTGACCATAACCTACAAATCCCTTCATGACATAACATTAGGGCTTTTCAACATCTGTTGACATTTTGGTTTGGATAATATATAAGGGTTAGGAGAAGAGAAGGCTGTGCTGTATATAATTTAACAACATCCCTAACATTTTGTCCTTGCTGCCATTTGTGACAAGCATACCTGTAAATATGAAAAAAGTTCCCCAGCAGATAAACTTACACCCTGCTCACCCCTCCCTACATCCCAATCTTTTCAGAACACTCCAGCTTTAATTTTACTTTTACATAAATTTTCTGGAAACGTTTGACTAATTCCACTTATTCTTTCATCATTGTTTTTATTGTATTTAGAATTTCTGATTTCTTTTTACATGGCCTAAGACTTGTATCTACCACCTTCTTTATTGACCATCTAGACTGAGGCTGGACTGGGTACTTTGTGTGTTCCTTCCGTCTTTAGTCATTTGAGCATTGTAAGTGTTTACCCTGATGGAGTGTAAGCACAGAGGCAGGAAACATGGTTATATACTTTGTACAGTACCTGGTTTCAGTGGCTATTTTTGTTCTATCTTCTCTTTCTCCTGTTCTCCTCCCCTTTTCCCTG